CGACAGCTGAACCACGATATAGCAGGGGCGTGACAGCTGAACCACGATATAGCGGGGGCGTGACAGCTGAACCACGATATAGCGGGGGCGTGACAGCTGAACCACGATATAGCGGGGGATCATTGTATGTTGTTGTGACATAGACACAAACACGGCTGCCTTTCCCAGCAATGCTGCTGCCTTTCCTAGTGATGGCACCACTGAGTGCTTAATGTTACACTTTTGCTTTCTGTCATTGTACTGTATGTGGGTCTGATCTATATCCATCTCACATGTCTGGACATGTACACCCCATCTCCTCTTTCTCCAGGAACCAGCCAGGCTCTCATGAGCATAAATGTCTCTTTACTATATTCTCAGGTCTAGCAGGTAAGATGTTTTTTTTTTATCTTAAATCCCCTGTAAACATGAAGTCTGCATATCCGCGTGTCTCTGTGAGAAGCAGCACAGGTTCTCTAAACAGCATCTCTTTCCCATTCAGGTCTTGACCTTTGCTCTTCCTCCTCGACCTTGTCACAGGCCAAACGCTCGTCTCTCGATGCCAGTAAGGTGATCTGGTGACCAGGGGAGCGACGCAGCACCCTGTTGTGCATTTACACTCACAGACGTGCCCCCTTTAAGTGCAAGGTGTGTGACTGGCAGACCACGAGTGTGGAAGCTGGCACCGAGCAGGGTGGCGATCAGACCCACAAGGGGCACGCTGAGTTTCTCCGGCTGATACCTCCTCACACACACCTCACACAATCATGTCATACATGATGTTGGATATGCCTGCATGTGTACCGCAGAGTTATCGTCCTGGCTCTGCTGAGGACACAGAGCCTGCTGAAAGCTTCCCGATGCTTCACCCTGCAGCAAAGCCTGCTCTGGAGATAAACTTCTTGAGTAACCACCTTCCTCTGACATCCCAGGGATTCACATGCAGCTTTCCGCTGGATCCGCGTCACGGCCCTTCAGCATAATCCAGTAGGTTTTGCAAGATGTGAAGACCTCAGCGATTCTGTCTCACGTGGACACGGACTCATGCATGGGCGGTAGAACAGTGTACCAATCCCGTTTCTATACCAAGGATGCCATATATAGATAATTATTGTACTATTATAAAAACAGAGTTTACTAATAAAGACACAGCAAACACAATTTTGATAGAAAACACTTAAGAGTATTTAAGTTTGGTATTAATTTGATGACAACACATTAGGAAGTTATTAAAGTATGCATTTATGGATAACATATACGAATAACATTCATAAAGCATTGTATATAGTAACATTTTCAGTGACAGAGGATCTCTCCCCACCACAGGAAACAACATAAGCAGTGTCAATGTTCCTCTAAGATAATGTTACTGTTCTGTTCTATAAACATTTGTTTAAGAATAGATTTTGAGACTAGCCTGCAGTTTCTGGTAAATAAATAAATAAATATGTTAAAAGGGAGAAATAAATAAATGAGGCTTTGTCCGGCAAACCGTCGTGTACATATTAAGGGGTCGACGCCCTGCACTCCTGGGGCTCGAACAAGCGCATAAATGGCGAGACGTGACTCAACTGGAACCGAAACACCTGTTTGCTGTCTATCATAGCAGATAAAGATTAATATTCATTCGCAATTTGCATATAGAGGAAAAAAAAAAACAGCGCTCACTGAAACATTTCAGCAGTCGGTTAATTTGGGGCAGCAGACGGAGGAGACAAAAGCCGGGCTATTTTAAATATTTATAGACATACAGCCGGCAAACCTACACTTTACAACATACACAATATGGGCGATATAAATGAAACGGACAGACATACAAAGTGCTGTCAGGGTGTTGAGCCAAAAGTCAAACCACTTTATAAATTTTCAATGAATCTGCGAATCCCAGTAGTAAATCAATGTTCTATTATAATCTTTAATACTAAGTAATGTTTCTTAAAATTCCAGACGTAGAACGTACGAAACAAATTGTAAATGTTTCACTGGCAGAAGAAAGTAATTCTACAGTCAGAAAAAACGAAACCAATTTGTACCTTTGAACAATTTGTACCTTTAAAAGTACAGAAATGGACTCCGAGGAACAGTTTTGTACCACTGATGTTGTTTGTATCTTGGGGAGTTCATTTCTGTATCTTAAAAGGTACAGAATTGTAAGATACTGCCCCAGTGACGAGCAAATGCACAAACTGTTACCCTTTTTCTCAGAGTGTACTAATAAATGGGTTTTCGGCTTGTAAACGCGAAAATAGTGTCTTTAAGTTCAGACATGTAAAATAAATGTGTAATAACCATGGTATAAGCGAGTTAATGCACTCCATGCCGTGCATAAAAACGTATAATGCACAGCTTGGAGTGCATTAACCCTTACTTATAAATGGTGAGTTGAACGCAGAACCTCCATCAGCCGAAACTCACACAAGCAGCAGCTCTGAATGCCATCAAACCGACGAGCAGGACTTGGCATTGCATCACGGCTGTTAAACAGAGATATCTAGCCAGTGATGTTTGTCGGGACGGGCGCCATGCTTCCGGCTCCGTGTGGACGCAGGTGGCACTGTGAGACTCGCTGATCCCGCAGGGTAAACAGAGGCGCGTCGGTGCCAACCGCCCGCCCGCGGTATCTCGGAGCCGTTATGCAGTTCAACCGCGGATGATATTTATTTATAATGTTTTCACCAGGAAACATATTTAATAGTGGTGCAGTTCTTTTGACAGATCATCACACCATTTGGGTGTTTAGCCTCTGACTGGCAGGGTGTCAGTGATTTGAACTGGAGCCATTTAAAAAACAAACAAAAAGAATTTTAATAAACAGGCGACCTCGTGCACACCACTCGGAAGGATTTGTGTCACTTTCAGCTTCTCCCCGTTGTCTCTATGCATTTCCTCTCTGACCGTCTCTATTTCAAAGCTATTTATCCGGCACAGAGTCTTGGGGACCCCGGAGTCTGCCCCAGCACGCACAGGACATGCAGATACTGAAGCCCTTAGGATTGCATGGTTCCCTCAGATGGGCTGTGTCATGTCAGATGTGGAAAACAGAAGATCTTTTATGTCAATTCTGGCCAAGCCCCCTGCAATTCTGGCAAGCTCAGTCCAAACCAATTGTTATGGCAGGACATGGTGAAGGGAAGGACAATTCATGTAGTGGCTCTGAACAGATAGGAGTTTATTAAACACAACAGAACATAAAGGGAGAACCGGAAAACAAAGGGACCATGAAGGGTCAAAAACAAAACGAGTAAAACAAGAACTCACTAAAACTAAGAAGACATGGGGGACCAAGCAAGGAGCAGAACACACAGTAACAACCATAATGACTAATTGTGGAACAGAACAAATGCAGGCACTTAAATACACTGATAAGACAGCTGAGAACCATAACCAATTACTAAGGACTCAGGGCAACAAGGAACAGGTGGGGCAATCAACAGATACAGAAACACCAAGGGAAACTGCGACAAGGAGAACCGAACGAACAGGGAACAGGGAGCAAAAAAACCAAAAAAAAAAACAAGGAACTGTAAGTGAAATGCATAAAAACTTGATAAACCGAAATTACTAGTTGAGGCTGGTCTCTGGCCACACAGCAGCCCCGGGAAGTGGGAAACACACTAGGGTAATCCCAAACAGGATGGCCAGTGAGAACTGCTGGTCAAATGGGGAGAAGACAGGGGACAGGGGACGGGGCCAGACAGGCACCAATCCTGATACCAATATTTTGAGAAAACACATTCTTGCAAATGTGACATCTATATTTGCCTGTATGTCTCGTCTCTGAATGATCACAGCATTAACACAAGATTGCAAGAACTTTCTAGAGAGATTGGAAATCTGCTCCATAAATAATGCATCAGGGACAACACTGATGCCAGTCATTCATTTGATGGTCAGCAGTACTAAGTGCTGAAAACAGGTATTAAAATGAGACACCGTTTAAACGTTATATCTGCATTTATTTTGCATCCATCTAGCAAGACTGCAGTTGCGGGTACCAGACATGTTTTAAATGCAAAGCTGCTGTACATAGCCAGGGACACACTAGATTCACAAATCATTCCTCAACCTTTTGAGTTTGAGCTGTGACATTTTGAAATCCAGTGCAGGGTTTCAACCGCAGTCATTCAGAGATGACGTTATATATTTCAGCTGTTTTTCTGTTGTGACAGAGGCTTAAAACCTCCTTATAATCAAACACTCCATTGATTTTAGATAGCGTTCTTTAATGGCACTTGATGGTAACACAAGGAAACCTAAAGCATTAAAAAGCAATTCTGTGGTTATTATCGCTGTTATTGGCTGATCAGGATCATATGACTTCCTGTACATCTCAGCTGGAAGCAGGACCTCTGAAAAGAGAGCTGTCCTTATTTCGGTCACCACTGAAACAAACTCCGCCCCCTTGAGAAGCCAGTTAAAGATGCAGGATGGCCCGCATGCTGTGGGAACAGGGAATGTGACAGGATAAGCATGGCCCTGGAAATATTTAACAATTACTGACCTCTGTGGATGCTGCAGTGATGGTAGCTTCAAGCAGCTCATTTGAAATTTCTGGGCTTCCTCTGCCAGTGAGTGAGGAAGGGGAGGCAGAGATTAGCCCGACTGCGTGTGTTGCTCCCCCCACCCCGCATAAATCATGCATGTGCACGGCCGCCTTAGCCCCCGCTAACGAGCAGCCTGCTTGACATTCCCCCACACAAGCTGAAGAGTTCATCCGTGAGGGATGTTTGTCTCGCAAACCC